AATGAGTGTCTCACAACACGTGACGTGCACATGATGTCTTAAGGAACACGGGGGCCGCAATTTCACAGTACACAGGTGTGATATTAAAATGGCAGGCATTTTCTTTTGCCCGGTTGTGTATATATATCCTGGGAATATAATTTTAAACAGTTTGTGAATTGGTGTCGTTATTTTCTTTATCTGTTCTAATATATTTGATACTGTACAGCAGTAATGATTAGTTTCCTAGACAGAAAGCGTGATCTATGAAACGGTTTCTGGTAGTTCGTACCACTCTTTTGACGACATCCACCTCGTGTCTGCAATCCGACTATCCCCTCTCCCTGGTAAGTTACATCATGTCAAGAAGTCTCTGTGTGTCAAGGACGTAAGAAAATCAGCTGATGCCCGATACCGAAGAACCGTGTTCACAGCTGACAGGCTAGGTATTTTTCTACACTGACAGAAACTGGATATACTGACACACAGCTGTTGTAGATATTTAAAAAAGCCCTGATCAAATAGATGCCCTTCGTTAATCTTTGTGTTGAGTACCGTATATACCCGTGATAATGATACCGGTGGCGATGCTGATGCTGATGGTGGTGGTGATGATGATGGTGACGACGATGATGATGGTGATGATGATGATGGTGATGATGATGATATGCTGATGTCCTTGCATTTTACAGTGGTGATAAACATTATCTGTGATTTCAAACTTTAACATTTGAAAAATGAAAACACATATAGTTGATCATATGATCAAGACCGCTGGCGTTGCTTAGTGGTAAAAGCGTTCGCCAAACGTGCCGAAAGTCCAGGTTCGATTCTCTGCATATCATGTGGGAATCCCCCGCCGTGATATTGCTGGAATATTGCCAATATTGCCAAAGTTCTGCAGATGGCACCGGAGTATGTCAAGATTCAACTCTCGGTTGGTCTTCTTCCATTATATCTCACTAGGTGGCGCTACTGGCCTCGCTAGGTCGTTCATTCATCCACAGGGCTGTGTACATGAATAGCGGCACTTTCTTAAAGCGGTTGTCAAATAGGGTTTAATGTCATGGGAAGTTGACCTCAACCGATTCCAGCAGCCCTGCTTTTATCTGATCTATTGCCCTAAGTTTGTGGCTCTGTGACAACACGTGCAAAAGAAAGTCTTTGTTCAGGAGATGCAATGGGCTATTCATGACATATCACAGGCTTTTTCGGATTGTGAACGGCATCGCGATGTCGAATCCGTCCTCCTCGCATAAATATTAACATATCTTCGAGATCTGTCTGAATGAATGGCGAGACAACATTTAAGAAGTACGTTAACTGTTATGTGAAATATTAGAATGATTCCATTCTTTAAGTTGTTTGATTCTTCGGTAGCATTTTTAATAAATGTTGTTCACGAGAGGTTCCTGAATACATGAATCGAGATTACGCTAACCGCACGGGTGACCTATTTCGGCATAGATATATCTAGATCGGTGACGCTAAGCCGGTGACCCGTACCCCGATCCGGACATACCAGTGGAACAGTCACTGACTCACTGACTCACTGACTCACTGACTGACTCACTCACTCACTGATTCACTGACTCACTGACTGACTCACTGACTCACTCAAATCAAATAATTTAATAAAACAACTCAATCAAACAATTTTAATAAAACAACTCAATCAGCTAACTCAATCAATCAACCAATCACTTACCACAAACAATCTATCAATCAAACAATCAATCGTGCTTTCCAAATGCAAGAAAATGGAAATCGAGTGACGGATGCTTGACTCATTGTTAGTCTTTCTACGCCATTGTATCGTTGCTAGTGGTACCAGTTACCAGTTTGGGCTAGACGAAGCATCGACGAAGCAAAGAGTTTAATCAGACGTCTCCTTGAGGAGTGTGAGTGAGTATGGTTTTAACGGCGCTTTTAGCAATATTCCAGCAATATCACGGCGGGGGACACCAGAAATGGGCTTCACACATTGTACCCATGTCGGGAATCGAACCCGGGTCTTCGGCGTGACGAGCGAACGCTTTAACCACTAGGCTACACGACCGCCCCTCCCTTGAGGAAGACTGGTATCACACCTGTGATCCCTGGCGATAAGAAATATGGCATTGCCTACCGTGGCAGCAGTTAGACGTATCAACGTATAATCATAAATTCTCCCCAGCGTAATATATATCTTGTACGTGTGTAAACAGGGTGTGTTTGGTAACTTGAGTAGGAAGCACAAGTGAACGAATGGATGTTTTTTTAAGTTGACAAATGAAAGAAGACAGACTGATTGTGACGCAAATTTAGTGACTGGTGGCCGTGTTTGTTTTCATCATTCGCCAACACACACGCACACACACATACACACACATACGCACGCACGCACGCACACACATTTTGAGTTAGAATTGAAGAAGACTTGTGTTACGAAGCCCCTTCAAGTCGTTATCAATATCCGTAAATGTCTGTGATATTACCCATCCAAAGCCGAATATACATTTAATGTGCTTTCTTGACAACAAATGTTATAATTGGGATAACACTTTCTTAGTAAAGTACAGATGCCCGTCCGGGATTTACCTACACTGTGAGTGAGGCACCCAATCAACAGCACACACAGTCAGCGATCTAACCCAGCCGCCGATGCTTCCACCAAACAAAAAAGTCGGCCAACTGTTAGTCCAGATCACGTACTTTTTGTACCCCTCTGACAAGTGAAGGATTGCACGGCTCCCATGGCCGAAAGCTTCGAACACACAATGCCATTAAGAACGTGGTCAAATGTAACAAATGTTATATTTGGATAACACTTTCTCAGTCAAGTACAGATTCTTGTACTTTTTAGGGTTGAGTTAATAGACGTTGATGGTCGATTATCAATGGACAAACTAAAGTCAAATCTGAACTTATGAATGATTGGTAATGGGCAATGGACAATGGGCAAACGGGAGGCCGGGGTAATTAGCGCCAATTACCTGTTGGCTTCCCTTGTTGCGTTTCCTCTTTTGCTATCTTTTTACTTTTGTTGTTCTTACAGGTACATATATATGTTCTCTGCCTCATAATAAAGACGTTGGCATCCATAAATTTTCTTCCTCACGTGTATCACTTCTTAATGTCTTCAAAGCCTCAATCTAGCTATTTTTTTAAATGTGGAGATATTTGCGTGGACTTTAATATAAACATTTGGGTCATTGTCAACATAAGCATTTAGACATAAACTTTATAGCTAAGGAAATTGCAGGGATGAAGTACACTTTATAGCAAGCTGTGATCTTTTTATCACAATTTAAATATTCTTAATGGAGATCTGTAACTGAGGTTTATGGTAATTTTCCGCAACTCTCACCTCCTGACCAGCTGAACGTCTTAGTGCATTCTGATGCCATTGTAAAATTCCAGGCTGCCCTTCTTTCTGAAATCTATTGCGTTATAAAACTCTCTGTTTGCTGATATTTAATATGTACATATTGTAAAATATTTACGATACATTAAACGTGTAATTCGATGCATGCAATGCAATGAGAACATGAGTGCAATGGATGTAGCGGAAAGGTAGGAGGGTGTATGTATGTAAGCACGAATACCGATACATGAAGGCGGATATTAGTTATGGTTCGATGGATGTTGAAGAATGGTGGGAGGATGGATTATGTATGTAAGCATACACATGTCTCCATGATGGCTGACGTAGACATAATGACATGGTTGTAGGGATAAAGGGGAAAGATGAATGCGACGTGTGTGCGCGTGCATTCATGCGTGCGTGCGTGCATGCAATCAACAGAAACATACACTGCCACATAACAATATGGTCAAATGTTTCTATTTAAGTTGTATATTATCAATTTTTCACTGATTTCGGACAGATTGGGCAATGAACCAAAATGTAGACACGTAGATTCAAAATCGGTCAGACTAGACACTCGTTGATTCAACATCGGCCAGACTGTAGACCCTCGTTGATTCAAAATCGGTCAGACTAGACACTCGTTGATTCAACATCGGCCAGACTGTAGACACTCGTTGATTCAAAATCGGTCAGACTAGACACTCGTTAATTCAACATCGGCCAAACAATAGACACACACTCCTTAATTCAACATCGGCCAGACTGTAGATACTCGTCAATTCAACATCGGCCAGACTGTAGATACTCGTCAATTCAACATCGGCCAGACTGTAGACACTCCTTAATTCAACATCGGCCAGACTGTAGACACTCGTTGATTCAACATCGGCCAGACTGTAGACACTCGTTGATTCAACATCGGCCAGACTGTAGACACTCGTTGATTCAACATCGGTCAGACTGTAGACACTCGTTGATTCAACATCGGTCAGACTGTAGACACTCGTTGATTCAACATCGGTCAGACTGTAGACACTCGTTGATTGAACATCGGCCAGATTGTAGACATTCGTTGATTCAACATCGGCCAGAATGTAGACACTCGTTGATTCAACATCGGTCAGACTGTAGACACTCGTTGATTCAACATCGGTCAGACTGTAGACACTCGTCAATTCAACATCGGTTAGACTGTTGACGCTCGTTGATTCAACATCGGCCAGAATGTAGACACTCGTTGATTGAACATCGGCCAGACTGTAGACACTCGTTGATTCAACATCGGCCAGACTGTAGACACTCGTTGATTGAACATCGGTCAGACTGTAGACTCTCGTTGATTCAACATCGGTCAGACTGTGGACGCTCGTTGATTCAACATCGGCCAGACTGTAGACACTCGTTGATTCAACATCGGCCAGACTGTAGACACTCGTTGATTCAACATCGGCCAGACTGTAGACATTCGTTGATTCAACATCGGCCAGATTGTAGACACTCGTTGATTCAATATCAATATCATTTGAGTATTCGTGATTATATGAACTGGAAGGATCACATAATATAAGAAATGATAAACGTATTAATTACAAATTCCTATATTGTCACGGACCACTGAGTGATTATTCTGCATATAATATGTTCTGCATATAACGATCACATCCTTCAGATCAGGTGACACACCAGACTGCACGCCCAGATGTGAATACAGACGCAATAACCACAGTTTGGACATTAAACCGGTGAGTGTAGACCTTGCTTTAAACCAACTATGTTTAAACTGCTTCCCCGATCCTGCCGTGGATGTCTTATGACGTCACGCATAACGTTTCCACCTGCGTTCTGATGTGTGGATAGTTCAATGGAATCAGTTGTCTCTTAAATATACTTTGTTTAACATTTGGAATCAAATAATGTTAATTTCAGCATTCTCTGTAGTGTCAAAGGAATAGACTTAATGAATGTATATGTTGTTGTTTTGCATATAGGTTGGGTATTCAAGGCCATACAACAATAAGTATAATACGGTGGGGAAGTAAGAAAAACAGTACTGGTTCCATTGATAGGGTGTACATGGCACTTGGGATGGGCATTACAACATGACTGTTTCCACGGGTTTTGATGTACTTGTTGGTAGTAACTTCTACATACAGAGGAAACAGGAATGGTATGGCTATTTGCATTTAGTACGAACTACTAAATGGCTTTATTGCACGTATCTAAATTATTGCTACTTACTGCTGTAACTCAGTCACCCCTGTAACCAAATCACGACCAGTTCACGGCACTGGGCACTAGTTCTCGCGCTGGGGGGCAACAAGCGGAATCCCTCCTTTGTTCCATGGTCTGTAGTCGGTTATTCGCGCACCGGCTATCTACAAGAACATCATATCTTGTAATCTTCTCCGCCTGGACTGGTCTCTGGCTAGCAAGCAAACCTGGCCCCAGTTTACACTGTACCCATTGGAGAACACAGGCTGAGCTGATAGCTCAACTGGGAAATTGTCATCTTACCATGCTTAAATAAACTGCACTTGTATGTACACTTGTGTCATTTAAATATCAGTCTCGTTGCTACTATAATTCTTATGAGTGAGTGAGTATGGTTTTACGCCGCTTTTAGCAATATTCCAGCAATATCACTGCGGGGGACACCACAAATGGGCTTCACACATTGTACCCATGTCGGGAATCGAACCCGGGTCTTCGGCGTGACGAGCGAACGCTTTAACCACTAGGCTACCCGACCGCCCCTCATTCTTATGAAGAGTATTGAAATGAAATATATCCTTTACAAATTTAGCAAGTCTACTCTGACAGAAGGACGACGGCTATTGTAGTGTAATATTTAATTAGTTTTATTTCAGTCTATATGATGTAAGGAAGCATCTTGCTATGTATTTTAAACATGCATACGTAATAATACTTTAGACATAGGGTCGTAAATAAAGCGACAAAACCCTTTCCATATCCAATAGAAATCACTGCATAAACCAGTGTCGAGTGTACAATTCCTACTATATCACGAGCATGCTGACAACCTAGAAACATGATCGGATGAACCGGGATTCGAACTCACGATCCATGATATCTGGCTTCCCAAGAAACGCGACTCTGTGAAAGGAACTAGGAAGCCTTAAGACGAATGGGCCACTTGTGCCCCCCTCAAGTAATGAAATATTTAGACACGTGTGTATAAATTTCAACTCTCATATTTTGCTAACAAGATTTAAGCATTGAAAGCTACTTTTGCTTTGTCATTTCAGCAACTATAATTGAAATTCATAATAACAGTACACAAGTAACACACAGAAATCAGCGCATTCGTATAAAGGTTTATAATCTATGTAAATATAATGTATTTTAAAGATATTTCAAAGAAACGTGAAATCCTTTCTAAACTTAACAGTAAGCAAAACATAAGTATTCCTAACTGAAAGTTATATCTTTCTTAATTTTGTTAACACATAAACAGCATTGCTGCAAATAAATTCGACAAAACCCTTTCCATATTCATAGGAAGTCTCTGCTAAAAGCAGAGTCGATAGTACATTTCCGACTGTATCATGAGCATGTTTATGAAGCACTTCAAATGTGATGATACCAAGTGTTCGCCAAAAGGCGAACGTATGCTTCCTCCACATGTCTACCATAAAACGTTTTGAAAGCTTAACTGAGGCCTTTAACGTTGCAAACTTGATCAAACAATTTCTGACCAACAGTCGTACGACGCTCTTCGAAATCTTGGTAGAAAGAGCATGCTCGATTGTATGTCAAACGTTGTGAAATGTAAACACCAAAAGCTGGAGCTGCTGGAATATTGCTCGATATGAAGGGAAAGTTGACTTTGGGAAAGTTGAAGTCACAGACTTGCAGAGAGTGTTTTATCACTCTGAATCTTTGTGCATAGATTTTATTATACAACGACTGAGGCGGTTTCACTGGTCTCCTTCATGTCAAGCTCAGGTGGGTAAATCAGTGGAAGGGAATTGGCTAGTTGATTGTTATTGAGCGATATCAGATCATCAACATACCTGAAGCTTAATTTAAACTTCTAGGCCAAATAACCGTCTTTTGAAATTGCCAATCCGAGGAGAAATTCCGATTTGTGTGCATAAAGAAACAGATCCGCAAGAATGGATCTGGCTGAGATTGCAACAAGTCAAGCAAATCCTTTGAGTGTTTGAGAATCGACATGCTATTAATATCACTTGTCTCAAAAACCTTCTGTGAATAGAAAGTTTGCATTTATTAATATGTAAAAAAGTGCGATATCAATAAATGTTTCATGATAGGATAAAATCAAATTTGTGATATAAATTTATTCTTTGGTATCATATAATACTAACCCGTTCTGTGTTTATTTACCTTTCTATCGTTATCATTGTTATCATCGAGGCGAGGTAAGGCCTCGGTGGCTCTGGGTGGGTTGGCTTTTGTGGATGACCTTGACATTGGCGGCTGCGCTGGATTAAGTGAGTGAGTGATAATTGGGGATTTAACGACATAAAAGCGTATTTCGCACATGGGTTTGCACGGTATTACTGAGAGATATAAAGCCACACCCTACAAAAGTATAAATAAGTCGGGACTACAAAATAAAGATGCTTACAAGGGTGGGTTTCCAAGACATTGTACGCCTGGGAGGACGTCCACCTCAGAGAAAAAGGACTGTCCTGTTTGTTGACACTTTGTTGTATGCCCTGATACTTGGTCTACATTAATGGGAGGATGGTATCTCCAAGGGTCAGTGTTTCTTTTCCCTATCAAGGCAAGTTAGGTGGTCGTGGGTGTTGATGTAGCACGTTGGTGCTTTGTGGCATCGCTCTTGTGGGTTTTCCTGCAAGTGACAAATGAACTTCAAAATGACTACTCGCGTTTAAGGCTACCTGCTTTTCATTGGAAACTTGCAGTGGTTACCTGCTTCTCAGTCTCTTTAACGACTTTAAAGCCGTTATCGTAAACCAGCTTACTGTGGGGGAAACCAATTGCCACTTACATTGCCACATATATTGGCGGTGGTAGTCGTCATGACAACGGTAGTTGACATTTGGGCCGGTGGGTGGCTACCACATTAGTTTTACTATTTAGGCCAGGGAGTGGTAGTTGCTTTTGCAGGCAATGGTAGTTGCCAGCTATGGTATCTGGGGTCAGGGAGTGGAAGTTGCTTTTGCAGGCAATGTTAGTTGCCAGCTATGGTATCTGGGGTCAGGGAGTGGTAGTTGCTTTTGCAGGCAATGTTAGTTGCCAGCTATGGTATCTGGGGTCAGGGAGTGGTAGTTGCTTTTGCAGGCAATGGTAGTTGCCAGCTATGGTATCTGTTGTCAGGGAGTGGTAGTTGCTTTTGCAGGCAATGTTAGTTGCCAGCTGTGGTATCTGGGGTCAGGGAGTGGTAGTTGCTTTTGCAGGCAATGTTAGTTGCCAGCTATGGTATCTGGGGTCAGGGAGTGGTAGTTGCTTTTGCAGGCAATGTTAGTTGCCAGCTGTGGTATCTGGGGTCAGGGAGTGGTAGTTGCTTTTGTAGGCAATGGTAGTTGCCAGCTATGGTATCTGTTGTCAGGGAGTGGTAGTTGCTTTTGCAGGCAATGGTAGTTGCCAGCTATGGTGTCTTGGGCCAATCAGCGGTAGCTGCTTTTGGCAGCTTGGCATTTGAAAGCTAGGAAGGCCTTTCGTATAATTAAATATGCTACTAGGGCCATGCAGCGGCAGCGGCTAATCGCCATTGGCAATGCAAGTTGCCATGCCAATGGTAGCTTTTTGTGTACTTAGCTACCTTAGTAAGCTCACTGTCACCTGAACACCCTAGGCAATTTTATCCACTCACATGTCCTTTTGTTATTATAGGCATGGGCATCAACCGTTTGGTAGCCCGTGCCTCAACTTTGGCAAATCACGCGAAATACTGTCCATATTAAACAAGGTGGCTGTTGACGACTTGACGATAATGAAATTAACATTGTTTCGATTTACCTTTGAATTTATGATCTCTTAAAACAAACTTTAAATATATAATCTTCTAAAACAAATCGCAGTGTGAACGTGATAGTGCACACATATCCAAACTGCAGATCTGGTGAAGAGAGCAGGCCTTGGTCTCTCTTGTGAGACATGTCACCTCCCCATCTGATGAAAGCGCCCCCACCCCAAAAAAACAAGAACAACAAACAAACAAACAAAACAAAACACCAACAAACCAAAACAAAAACAACAAACCAACAAAAACCAACCAAAAAACACAAACAGAATGCAGTGTACACATATGTTTATTTATTTGGAAATAATATAACTCAAAAGGGGTACGAAATATCACAGGAAATATCAACAGGGGTGTTACTGTGGAATCGTGTGTGCATGTGTTGTAGGTTCTGCGTGGTATTCGTATGTTGAGGATTCATGTTTTCCTCATATAAAATGCATTGTTTTCAAGTTCAAATTTTCAAACTAACCGTGGATATTTTTAATGCATCCCCTAGAGGAAAAAGATAACAATGAGTCACCAGTGAAGTTTTAATTAATTCCATACGCAAATCCATACGCATAATATATTTAAAGTAGCCTGAAGCAACATCCATTAGAATTATTTGAAACATAACTCATCTAAAATAATTTACACATATACATAAATAAATATAGATGTGCTTATCGATATATATATATATATACAAAAATGAGGTAAATGTTCACTCGGTGTACATGTAATATATAATAAAATAATAAAGTCCACGTTAGTCCATCATCATCT